CAGCCTCAGTTCCTGCACCCTTGGCCTGGTCTGGGGCCCCAGAAACAGCAAGCTCATTCACTGCTCCTGAGCCTCCTTCATTGGAGGCTCATTCACTGCTCCTGAAGTTGGCCCAGTCATCTACCTCCATGTCTGGTCCTGCAAAAAGGTCCAGGCTACAGACCACCGCATTTCCCGAGTGAGCCCTGCATCTTCAGGTGTGCAGGACTCGGGGGGCTGTGCCTACCTAGCATCCCTTGGCCCTGGATAGAGATCTCTGGAATCTGTTGAACCATGCTCTGCCACTTGGTGGCCAGGAGTAGGTCACCAGAGGTTTCTGCAGCTCACTTTTCCTAGCTGCAGAATGGCAGTGGTCCCATTTGGCCGTATGGTATGAAAGGGATGCTAAGGGTCAAGCAAGGGAGTAACTGGCAAAACACACTACAGTGGGGATGGGTAGGAGTCAGGCTCAGCAGGCAGCCTGAGGTGGAGAACGCAATGGGTTGAGTTCTAGCTGCACGCCGAGTACCACGGTGCAAACTGTGCTTACACCAGCCTCATCTGAGCTGCACAAAGGGCCTTCACAGGCCCAGCTACACAAGCTCTTGCCACACAAACCTGGCTTCCAGGCCTGGCTCAGCCCTCACCTGCGCTGGGACCCCAGAACTCTCCTGGCTGCTCCCAGGTCCAGGGTCTGTCTTATGAGTGAAAATCTCCCTGCTCAGAGAGGTCAAGTAGGTGGCTCAAGGTCATACAAGCAGCGAATGCCAGAGCTGGAGTTTGAGCCCTGGTGTCTTGACCTCACAGCCGAAGTGCTTATCCACCACCCATGGCCTAGGTGTAGATCATCTTGATTTAAACTCTACTAGCCAAGGGGATAACTAGGGATGTTTCTGTCCTCCGAGAAAAGTGAAGGGGCTGGATCAAGCACTCAGTGTGGTCTCTGAGTCCATGTATATGACATTTACATAGTCTACCTTTATAAGTACTCATCTAGTTGTTGGCTTATTTTCTTTAATTCTTTTTTCTTTTTGGTACTTGGAATTGAACACAGGATCTTGCGCTTGCCAGGCAGGCTCTGGGCCACTCAGCTATATCCCAGGCCCCAGGTTCCTACTTTGTTTTTTAAAAGAACAAAGGACACCAACATATCATGAATTTTCTGGATTAAGACACGCAACCTGGATGGCTGGGTGAAGCTGCAGAAAATGTAGTTCAGCTAGCAATAGCACTGAGAAAGGGCTGATTTTCTGGCTGCAAGAAGATATATCAGAACTTTGCTGAGACTCCTATCAATTCATACTCACTCACCTATTCACCCGAATATACAACCGTCTATTCATACACCTACTGACATATCCATTCATCCTATCCGTCTATCCATTCTCCCTTTCATCCTCAATCCACCTCTCTATTCATCCCTCTCTCATCTTATAGATTACATGTCTATGTGTTTATTGCCAATTAATCCACTTACCCCATGCATCCACTCTATTTCCCAGCATCCCATGCCAGAAGCCTGGAGAAGACTGCTATATCTCTTGCTGCCAAAGGCTCACAGCCTGCCTCTGATGGTGAGAAGACAGAGGAGCGATGCCCTTGTGGAGGGAGCACCAGGCAGAAGCCCAGCTCTGGCCAGGGTCTTATTTCCCAATCTGAGCTGCATGCAGAGGGACTGAAGGACATCATGTGTCTCCTGCCCATCTCCTCTTGCAGTTTCTGGGTATTCTGCAGTCTGACTCTCCCAGCCTGGTCTGGAGGGAGCTGGACTTCTGCCCTGGACTGAGTTGCCCAGCCTAGTTCATCTGGGTCTAGAAAGGGTGCCCTCTCACAGTCTCTGTGCCCCATTTGGCCTTGTCCCCAAGACCACAAGGCTAAGGATGCTGAAGACTGGTTCTGATGGCCAAGAACCTGGTCTGGACGCCTGGACTTTATAGCAGGCTTTGGGGTACCACTCTGGTTTTGCTGTAGTTGAGTGTGTGACTTTGGCTGAAATCTTTTGCTGCTCTAGCCCAGCTATCTCTGTTGTCCATTTACTTATTTTGAGCATCTACATTGCTACAGATGGAATCCTTTTTTGGAGGATGGTTTTATTGCTGAGTAACAGCAGAGTTGAACTGCACACTAATTATGTGCCAAGTTTTGTGCTAAGCACTTTCTACTTACTAAATCATTTTATCCTCACAATAATACAATGATTTCCCCCAGGAAATTGGGACCAAGTAACTTGAGAGCTTAAGTAACTTGTTTATATTCACACAGCGAGTGAGAGGTTGCACCCAGGCTGTCTGACTCCAGCACAGGAGTTTTAACCCCTGTGCATTCCACCAGGGCCTCTGAGCCTCTCATACTGATGGTTGTCAGTGCACAGAAAAAGAAACCATACAACCAGGGTACTCTCAGGAAGGATCCATAAAGACAGCAGAGGGTCCTACCTTGGATGCCAGTGTCACAGGCCTAACGGGACCTGGATGCCCAAGATGTAAGTGACCTCTACTTGGGTTACAAAGCAAAGACCCTAGCTTCCAAGTACCTGGTCTCTCCCTGGCCTTACCAGCTGCATCTCTTCTAGATGCCACTGGCTGACTCCTGGGATGTGACCCTCAGTCCCCAATACAGAAGTGAGGCTGGGGCCTCACTGCTAGTCTCTGAAGCTCCTCGTGTAACATGTTCCTGTGGAGCCAGTTCTGCAGCCCTTCCGGGTGACCCTATGAACTCCTTTGCTGTAACCTAATAGCATACATCTCAGTCCAAGCCCACCCCAAAGGGCTGTGCCCAGGTGCCTGCCCCATTGCTCAAGGCCTCTTCTTGGACCTGCCCCCCTCTTCTCTCTGCAACATCTGTGGGACAAAATCACCAATGGGATCTCAGTTATTTTAGGAAGGCCTAGAGAACAGAAGGAAGCATGCTGCTCTGCCAAATTGAGGGAAAGAAGACCAAAATGTCATCATTTCTAGCATCGCCCCCAGGGCTCTCTGTCCTCTGTCTGCACGCGTTCTCTGACCTACTTTCTCCCTTTGTCGGTTCTGCCTCCCTGAGCCTGTAGCTCCAGGGTGATTTGGGTACATGCTCAGCTCAGGGTGCAGAGACTGCCTCCTGCTCCTCCTCCTCCCTCACTACTTCTCAGTCCCTCGCTGCTCACTTTCGTACTCCTCCAGGATTCAGAAAAGCTGGTGGTGGCTTTCACCATCTCACCTGATTGTGAAGGCTGTAACCAACTCAGGGGCAGAAGGTGAGGTCAGGGCTTGGGCACATTTGAAAAGTAAACAAGAAGCTCAGTTGGTCACCCAGAGATGCACACAAGGCAGAAATGCCCTACATTTGGGTGGCCACAGGTATCTGGAAGGGCAGATCCTACATATTTCTTCTGTCATCTGATTTCTAGTGAATTATAAAGATGCAACCTGTTCTAAGACAGACAGACCTCAGCATGACAAACCTGGGCAGCTTAGCTGAGACAGTAAGGCTGGTTTTACTTATCCAAACCAATACTACTATTAATAACACCAGTGCTACTATTAACAACACCAGTGTCTTAGGCAGCAGATTGTTTGCAAAAGTGGCTACAATTAATCCCTTCTCTGAATCCATACCCTTGTGGCACATTCCCACCAGAAGTAGTGTCTATATTTTGCTCTGTAATTCTGGTCTGGCATCCAGACTGCATGGGCCAATGAGATACTGCAAAGTAAGGATGTGTCTGTTCAGAACCCTTGGTCTCAGAGAGCCTGTACACTTCAGTTTCCTGTCAGAACTCTGTTCCTCACACTAGCCTGCTGAAGGAGGCACAATAGTACACAGTAGAGTTGAGCCAGCCCAGCAGAGGCCAGGCTAGACCTCTGAACCCTGCAGATGTGCAAGGGAGCCCAGATACCAGAAGAGCCACCCAGCAGAGCCCAGCCTTAAGGCCAACCCAGGGATTTTGTGTTAAATATAACTGGCGCTTGGTATCCACAAGGGATTGGGTCTATGACTATCAGAAGATACCCACTATGTATGCTAATTATATAAAATGGGATAGTATTTGTACAAAGCCTGTAGAATCCTTCCATAGACTTTATTTTTTATTTTTTAATTTTATGTGTGTGTGTGTGTGTGTGTGTGTGTGTGTGTGTGTGTGGCCAGCTCAGCCCACCAGGGGGCAGGGCTGGCTGGCATGTGGGGCTGGGGGATTGAACTGCGGTCCCTGTGCTTTGCTTTGCTAAGCTTGTTCTAAGTAGATGCTTTAGACCACTGAGCCATCTCACCAGCCCCTCTTCCATAGACTTTAAATCTTTAGATTACTCATAATACCTCAGTATAAATACTCTGTAAATAGTTGTTGCATTGTTTAGTGTATAAGGACAAGAAAAAGTCTATACATGTTCAGTACAGATGCAACCACTGTAAGCTTACTGGAAATTTTTCTGAATAATCTTGATTCATGGTTGGTTTAGTTGTATAATCACTGGATATAGAACTCGTGGATATTCAGGACCATCTAGACAATTTTATTTTTAAATTTATGTATCTGGTACAGTGTCTCACTGTGCAGCCTGGACTCATAGTGATCCTCCTGTTTTCAGCCTTTCTAGGGCTAGGATTCTAGGTATGCACCCAGTCTCAGTGACTGGCTCAGCACACCCGAGGGTGGGGCCTGGGTGGCATGTGGTGCCTGGGGATCGAATCCTGGTCCTTGCATTTGGCTGAGCAGGTGCTTAGTTTGCTGAGCTCTCTCACTGGCCCTTGGACAGTTTTAGTCTGAAACACTATATTCTGGAATAGTTTTTGTGTGAACAAGGTAACAAATAAAAAATTTACATATGTGTATGTGGGATCCATTTCAATTTTAAAAATCAGTAATGTAATAATTTTTCTTTCTGGACACACAATATAGCAATTTTAAGTCAAGGAGGACTGAGTTGCTCACCATTCTATCACCCCAGGATCTACAGGCAAGGGTTAACCTTCCCACACAGGACCCTTGTGCCATCATTATAGTTGGTGCTACCCCAGGACAGGGTGTGGCTGGACCCACTCACCAGGATCTTGGTGGTGTAGGCGCTGTTGATGGCGATGGCATTGACCAGTAGTTCCATAGTCTTGGCGTTGATGGAGCTGGGCTCAGGGACCTCCTTGTAGTGGACGTCACCCACATACGCCTGTACCACGGTCATGCGATTGGTGGTCAGTGTGCCTGTCTTGTCCGAGCAGATGGCTGTGGCGTTGCCCATGGTCTCACAGGCATCCAGGTGGCGGACCAGGTTGTTGTCCTTCATCATTTTCTGTGAGCAGAGGCAGGAGAGCACACTAGTGAGCAGTGGAGCGTGAAGCAGGAGGCGTGGGAAGTGCGGAGTGAGCAGGTAGCACTGCCTCTGCCCACGGCCTTCTGGGGCACAGCCCACCCGGCCTTGTGGCCCTCGTGCCTGGTGACTTCTGCATGCGCAGCCCCTTTCTTTCTCTGGTATTATGTACACCATGTAATTTGAGTTACAGTCACTTGCATACTTTGTGAAAAAAAAATAGTGGAAAAGTGAAAAAACTAAGGTTGTGTTTCCCCTCATTGCTCTAAGGGTTTCACTCTTAGTTCAATATAAGTGACTTGTCCTTGTTTGGTTTTGAGTTTCCTTAAGTGTGTCATTTTTCTTCCTTCTGAGGCGTGGTTTTCATTTTTACTTTAATTTCACCAAAGATAAATTTAGGCTATTTATGTGTTTGAAGATATAAGAAAACAGTTGGAAAAAAATCAAAATATTGATGTCATTATTTCTTGGTGAGAGAATTTCAGGCTTTTATTGACTTCTTTTTTTAAACCTATAGATTCTGTTTTTCTATGATGAGCATATATTTATAACTTGCGTGATAAAACCCTCAAATTTCCTACACAAAAAGGAAAAAGAAAAATGAGCCATAAATTCATACTCGGAATGGAATGGATATGTCTTGTATATCAAATTCTCTTTTTAAATTGATAACAAAATGGAATCCTACAGTAATATCATTAATGTTTTCTTCTATCTGTCTCTTCCTCTCTGGCCTGGCTCCACATTCATAAGTCCTTCCAGGTCCTCAAGCAAGTAATGCAAATAAAACTCTCTCTCTCTCTCTCTCTCTCTCTCTCTCTCTCTCTCTCTCTCTCTCTCTCTCTCTCTCTCTCTCTCCCTCTCTCTCTCTCTCTCTGTCTCTTTCCCTCTCTCCATGTCTCTCTCTCCCTCTCTCTCTGTGTCTCTCTTTCTCCATGTCTCTGTCTCTCTCCCTCTCTCTCTGTGTCTCTCTTTCTCCATGTCTCTGTCTCTCTGTCTCTCTCCGTGTCTCTGTCTCTCTCTATCTCTCTGTGTGTCTTTGTCTCTCTCTGCCTCTGTCTCTATCTCTCTCTGTGTCTCTGTCTCTCTCTCCCCATCTCTCTCTCTGTCTCTCTCCATGTCTCTGACTCTGTCTCTCTCTCCCTGTCTGTCTCCATTTCCAGAGTGTTCTCAGTTTGTTTATTTATTTATATTAGTATGCATTTGCAGTACATTCCTCATGGGAAATTGGAATGTGTACCTAACATCCTAACATATCTTAATTCTTTTTGCATCTCTTTCCCTTTCCCTCCCTTTGACCTCTCTCCACCTCGTGATCTTTTTCTCATATGTGAAAGATCTATCTCCTTGTTGCCTATTTTCTATCATTTTTAAAAAATGTATTTAGTACAGGGTCTACAGGATCTCACCACACAGATCGGACTCGTAGTGATTCTCCTGCTTTCAGCCTCCCAAGTGCTGGGATTACAGGCATGCACCACCACGCCCAGTCTCATTTGCTGTCTCAGGGTGCCCTGGGGGGCAGGACCAGCATGGCACACTGGGGATCGAACACTGATTGCTGTGCTCTGCATGAGCAGGTGCTTTAATCCGCTGAGCTATCTGGCTAGCCCTTATCTATCTTTTAATAAAGTGATTCTCAGGAATTCTCATGCAGACCTTCCCCTAGATGTGCTAACCCTTCTGGCAAGGGGGATGTGAACATTTGCAAGAGGCAGAATCAAACAGATCCTACTCTGTGCCTGGGGATTTGATTTCCTCGACTCTTCATCCACACCCCAACTGCTTCTAGCTCAGGTTAGAATGGCTTCAATAGAAGTTTATGTGGCTAAAAAGTGACTATTGGTAAGGTTATGTTAGTGCATTTCCCCTTAAGCCCTATGATAATAGCGATAGTTAATGCATGTTGAATGGACAAACAACAGAAATCTGGACCTGCACCATACTTGAGAGTGTGCAAAACCCCTTCTGCTTTTATTTTCTTGGCTGATGTTACAAGAATCCTGTGATGCTCTGGGAAGCTGAGAAAGGAGGATCTAAAGTTTTAGGTAAGGGGTTGGGGAGATGGCTCAGCAGAATAAACGCTTGCCTGGCAAGTGCAAGGGCCTGAGTTTAATCACTGGTTCTGCCAAAAAACAAACAAACAAACAAACAAACAAACAAATAAAATTTTAGGCCAGCTCAGAGAACTTAGTGAGACTCTTCACATGTAACTCAGTGTGAAGTCCCTGGGTTCAATGTCTGGGACTACAAAAACCAAACCAAACCAAACAAACAAACAAAAAATCCTGTGAGACCTGAGAGGATCCTTTAATCCATTTGACAATGAGGGAAATCTAGGCAAAGTGGGTTGACCAGGGCCACACATCGGGGGAGGTGGGAAGGTGGAACCAGAACCCAGCCTTGCAGGCCCTCACAGCCTGAATTATCCTGCCCAGCCTCAGCCCCGCTGCTCCCTCTGCAGAGCGTTTGTCTGTTGGCCTTAAGACTTCTCCGTTGGGCCTGTCTGACCAGGAGGCTACAAGCTACTGGGCACTCAAAGTGTGGCTCAGCCAGCATGTGGGCAGACAAGGTACACTGGCCTGAGAGGCTATTATAAAAAAGGCACGTAAAAGAAAAATTTCTATAGTTTTCATATTGATTATGTGTTGGATTGATAATAATTTAGATATATGAGTTATGAAGGAAAAATATATAATATTTATATTCAAAAATCACAGTACCAGATGCACTGCATTAAGGCTCCCTCAGAATGCTTGCCCTGAACACAGACATCCCGACGTTCCTGCCGCCTTCTGGAGCAACGCTGGAAGGCTCGCCGTGTGAGTGTTTCTGGCTGTGCGGTTGTGGCTGCTTCAGGGGCCTGAATTGGTTCAGAATGTCTGACTTCACAGCCGTTTTGACTCAAGGGAGGAGCAGGAGTCACAGATCTGGCAGATCTGGTGGGTAAGGCGGATGAAACACCGCCACATGGGCACAGGCCTGTCTGCTGGCCGGAGGCCCTCTGCAGCAGCACTCATTTCATTTGGGAGCACATCTCCTAAAGACACGCATGGGGGGCTGGTGAGATGGCTCAGTGGTCTAGAGCACCCACTTAGAGCAAGCTTAGCAAAGCACAGGGACTGCGGTTCAATCCCCAGCACCACATGCCAGCCAGCCCTGCCCCCTGGTGGGCTGAGCTGGCCACACACACACACACACACACACACAAATACATAAATAAATAAATAAAAAAAAATAAAGACATGCATGGAAGAGCGTTTCTAGAGCTGCTTCAGAAAGTGGCAAGAATGATGGCATAAGGGCGTCTGAAGAGAGGGAAAAAGTCTTTTGAAGAGGGTCAGTGCCACTGTGTCTTCTACTGTAATAATTAAAAAAATTTAAAAACTCATTTATTTATTTAGTCATTCATTCATTTGGTACAGGGTCTCACTATGCAGCTCGGACTTCTAGTGATCCTCCTGTCTCAGCCTTCCCAGCGCCGGGATTACAGGCTTGTGCATCTCCTCAGCCCTACTGTAATAGTTTCTAAAAAGGATTTAAATGTTCACGCTTTTGATCATACTTCTATTGGGCTAAGGAAACTGTATTTTTAAAGTTAACTTTACTTGTTTCTTTTTACTTTTAAAAAGAGGTAGCTACTTGGAAATTTAAAATGACCAAGGTGGCTCCCACTCTGCCTCTCAGGGCATTCGTGAGTGGTTGTCGCTGTGCTCGGCACTTTGGTGGCTGCCCTCAGGTCTGGCGGCCTCTCCTGGGGTGCTACTCTGCTGTTCACTGAGTGAATACGAGTCACATGTCCTGGGCTGTCAAAGTGCCACGAGCCAGAGACACAAACCCTGCGGGCCTGATATGGCCTGCACACAGCCCCAAGCCCACTCTGCGCAGCTCTCAGGAGGCTCCACCTCCTGAGGGGACCAAGGACCCCACTCAGGGCCAGAGAAATGTAGCCCTTGCCAGGCCCTGGGCCCCATGAGGAGCCCGGGGGCTTTGCTTTGTGGGATGGAGTTTCCCTGAGAACCCTAAAGCGGGGAGATGATAAGGGCTGTATCCTTTACAGAGCTGCCACTTGCTGGCACCGACCCCGAGATCTCTTCTCTGTATGGAATTACACCGGCGCCCAGCCCAAATTCCGGCTCGGAAACCAGCGCTCACTGAGTCCTCCCTCAGCCCTGCCAATTTCTCAGGGCAAAGGCCTTCTCTGTAAATAAGACCGAGCCACACCTTGTGGGGACATCTTGGCATCAGGACAGTGGGAAGCAGGAACCCATGGCTCTGCCTTCAAGTTGGGGAAACCTGGGAGTGGTGGTAAGGGAAGAAATGCATGGGTGTGAGAACTCGGGGTGCTCCACAGAGTCAGACCGCAGGGCCTGGCTCTTGGAACTCAGGCAGAAGTGGGGCCTTGTGTAGGCCTGTGGTGGTGGGGGGGAAGGAAAGTTTCCCAGCTTGAGCTTCTCCACAAGTGTTCGTGGGCCTGGCAGCCCTCCATTTATCTGCTTTTAAAACCTCACAGCCAGGCCTGAAGGCATATGCCTATAATCCCAGTACTCAGGAGGCTGAGGCAGGAGGATCGGCTGCAAGTCCATGAAATCAGATCTCCTTTTTAGTTTCTTCTTTTACATTTTAGGGAATGACCTGTGAGCATAGTGGTACAAATCCTTAATAACTACTCAGGCGTGACTGCCAGGCTTCCACACAGACGGAGTGGCTGGGGTGGGTTTGGCTCCCACGGTAATAAATGTATTTTATTTTTAAATTTGAGTTGGCCATCACTAGCTATCACTAGACAGAGTTCAAACAAGTTCAGATTTCTGTCTCTGTCTCTGTCTCTCTCTCTCTTGTGTTTTTGAGATAGGGTTTCCTTAAGTAGATCAGGATGTCCTTGAACTCACTTTGTAGCTCTGGCTGGCCCTGAACTCTTGGCTATCCTCCTGCCTCAGTGCTGCGATTACAGGCATGTGCCACCACACCGGGCCTTTCTGCCTTCTCTCAAGAATGCTGGAGAGTGGCCACCATGGGCCTGCATCCCCACTAGCCACAGTTGGAGGGCCATGGAGAGGGGTCCTGGAGCAGGATGTAGTGTGATGTCTGCCCAGAGCTTCTGAAAATGAGTTTTGGGATTTGCACGCATCCTCTCTGAGTCCTGGGGCAACCCATACTTCTTCTCTGCTCCCCTCCCAACCCTACGCTCCTGCCCACCCCTGACAGCCCCTGGTTGGGCCCTTGGCATAGTGCCCATGCCTCACCTTCACTGAGTAGGCCAGTGAGATGGTGACAGCCAATGGGAGGCCCTCAGGCACTGCGACCACCAGCACCGTCACACCGATAATGAAGAACTTGACGAAGTACTGCACATACACAGGCGTGCACTCGGGCAGCCATGGCTTCTTGTTCACCACGAAGGTGTCCACGGTGAAGTACAGCACCAGGATGATCACCGTGATGGCCGACATCACCAGGCCTGTGACATAGGGACAGAGCAGTCAGTGAGGGGTGGCCTGAAACATGGCTGCAGGGCTCTGGGATTAGGTAGCGACCTCCCCATGTCACTGCTTCCTTGTTTCATGACTCTGAGTGAGGCCCGGGGCCTCACCCACTCTCTGTGCTTTCATGAGACTCATGCTATCCAGTGACACAGACAAAACGACTGGCAGTGCCCATGAGCCCCTGGCGGGCGCAACGCTGCAAGAAGTTGACATTGTTGATTTACTCATTCTCCTGACATCTATTGTGTACAGCCTCATAGTTGTTCCTTGCCCGTGAACTGGGGACACAACAGTAATAAAGCGATAGCCCCTGCCCTCGGGGCCTGACACTCTAGAGGGGGAAGCAATCAGGAAACGGACAGACACAGCAGCAAAACTGCCACAGATGTGAAGGGCTGTGAAGGCAAACACCAACATGAAGTGGCAGAAGGTGACAGACGGTGGCAGAGAGGGATGGCCTTAGCCACGGTGGCTAGGGTACCTCAGAGGAGGTGACATTTGAGCAGACACTGAAACAAAGAGGGGAGTAGGCACCTGGTGACCTGGGGAGCAGCATTCCAGGCAGGGGGAACAACAGGTGGCTGTGACTTGGATGAGGAAGCTGAGGCTCAGACAGGCCAGGGAGCTGCGGTAGCTGTAGGAACACAATTGGTGCCCTGCCCAGATTCCCTGGAGTGCCATCTGCAACTTTGGTGTGCCCATCTCCTACTGGTTGCAGGTGCTGCCACAGGGGCTGGAAGTTGGCTCAAACCTGCCACCTCTGCTGGAGGAGGAAGGCCTGTGGGCCACCAGAGTCCCTTTGCCAGGTAGGGCCTGGGAGGGCACCTCCCCCACACCTGACGCTTCATGTCCCAAGGCCCTGCTAAGTGCTTCAAGGTGGACAGGCCTGACTTTGCAGTGCATGGTCCAGGAGTCCCAAGGATTGAGACTAGGAATCTCTGGAAATGGCTGCAGCACAAGTTCCTTCTCCTGCTGAGACCTCCCTGAGGGCGCTTTTCATACATCCTGTACCTGACACCTCCTCTCTGCTTTCAGGGCACTTGGTCCAAGGAAGAGGCAGGCATGGGTTGTGAGCCTGGTGTGGTTGACTGCTTCTTTCTGAGCAGCTCGAGGGGTGGGGCCAGGACTTTAAAGGCTGCAGACTGTCATGGCTTAACCTTCTTTCCACCAGTACTGTGTTCCCCTTGAGTCCTGTGACAGCGATGGCAGTGGCTGGAGGAAATCCCTGGGCCCCCACCCCTACCCCACCTCCAACTGCAGAGCCTTGGTGCCCACTCTGTCCTTGGCTGACAGTGGCAGGGGCGGGAGCCAAGCTCCCAGAAGTCTGGAGCTGTCACCAGGCCCCAAGTTTAAATATAGACAGCCAGGCCTATAATTTGCCTCTCTTCTCCATGCTGTGGTGTCTATAATTAGAGTCGGGGAGGCAGCCACAGAGGAGGGAGCAACCAGGTGGGGAAGCCTTGGCGTTTGCCACATCCGCAGCCAGGAGGGGCGGTGAGGGTGCGCTGAAGGGCTGGCCTCACCCTGCATAGGCCTGGTACTGTCTACAGCTCCTGCTGCAGCTGGAAAGCCTGGTTGTCCTGTGGGGCTCAGACAGTGGGCTTCTCCCCGGGCTCCCACACTACTGCCCTCAGCCCCTTTGATCTCTGCTTCTGCCCTGTAGCTGGGGGAGTCATAAGCTCCAATCCACCAACCTGCTCAAACCACTCTCAGCCACCACTGTCCTCATGATGAGACCCCTACCGCCAAGCCCTGCAAGAGCTGTTCCTTCTCCAGCCACCAAACCTGCCAAGTGTTAAGTGCACTGCTTATGCAGCTTGCTTTACCTCTAGTGGCCAGCGAAGCAGAGACAGCACCACCCTCATCTTATAGATTAGGACATAAAGGCTCAGAAGTTACCTGCTCAAGTTCTCCCAACCCTGCCAGACTAGAGAGCAGGCGGCTGCTGCTGAGCCCAGCCTTTGGCTTCATCCTTTTGCCCTACTAAGTGCTGAGTGCCTGCTCTGTGTGGGACTCAGCTCAGCTGCTGCAGCTGAGTGGGGCTGGCTTCCAGGACCATCTGGTTGGAGTCCCACCCTTTGCTGGTCAGGGGTCCGAGGCCCTGGTCCTGTGTACACTCACCTGCCTTGCCAATCTGTACAGCCAGCTTGGTGAGTTTGCCCTGCAGCACGGACTTCTCCTTCTTGTGCATGTTGGCCTTCTTCTTGTCGTCGGCATCACCACCTTCGGCGCTCTTGAGTGGCTGCATCTCCATGGCAGCTGCCCCATCCTGCTGCTTGGCTGCAGGGGCAGAGCACGCACGTGCATGTATAGACACAGACACAGACACAGATAGGTGGGGTCAGCCTGCAGCCAGCACGTGGCCCCCACCCTGCCTTCCCCGGGGGCAGTGCTTGCCACCTGCCTGTGCCTCTCCAGGCTGGCACAGAAGCCCAGGATGGGCCTCTCCTCTCCCAGCTGGAGTCTCTGGTACCCATGGCACTCGTTGCCCTGGACCTGGAATCTGGTGTGCCCAGCAGCAGTGGACTGCATCCTCCACAGACTCTACCCTAGATAGTGCCTTGTCCTTTTGGTCATTAGGCAAAGAGCTTGAGTTCTCTCAGCATGTCCTTTAAGGCATGCTGTTGAGAGCCATCAGGTGGGAGGGATAGGTGCTGAGTCCCTGCCCCAACTACTATGGCCTCTCTGGTGTGAGGTTGACCAGAGGGCCTTTGGGACAGAGATGAAGCCAGGTCTTATTCTACCCTGACTCAATCTGCAAAGGCCTCAAAAACCTCAGCTTCAAGTCTTTGGAGGAAAGGGCAGTGAAGCTAGAAGCTGGGAGAAATCAGCCCAACGGTGTTCCCTCTCCCCACCGGTAAAACATCTTTATTTGGCTAGCTCCCCAAGAATGCAAGTGGCACCTCCGAAGACCCCATGGACATGGCTGCATCTGCCCTGGCCCAGGGAGTTCCTGCCCCTCGTGCGGTGCTCAGCTTGGTGGGGAGGGGCCTTGGGACACAGGAACCATGAGTGTAGAGGGTTACCTTTGCTCTGGCTGGCGTCCACATTGCCATCCTGCATTTTACCTACACGACAGAGAATTTTAACAGACAACAGAGAACAGACAGCACAGGTTGGTCAGCACAAAGACGCAACAGGCCACAGACGTTCACATCACAGACAGGAAGGGCTGAACTGTGTGGGAGGCAGAGGAGACTGGGGTCGAGGGGAACCTGGCCGCCTGGTGGATGCAAGGGCCATCAGTCCTGGGGACATGTAAGGGAGGGTTTCTGTGGGGATGATGTTGGCCCTGAGCATTTTATGGGTTACAAGATGGTATCTGCGGGAGAAAGCGACCAGTCTGCTGGGGGAAGAAGAAAGAACCGCAGGGCCCCACACCAGCTCTTTAGAATAGATTTGGCTGGCATGTTTGTGGGTGTAGAGGAGCTAAGAGAAACTTGTTCAGAGACTTTTTGTTTTCCTATCAAAGAAAAAATTCAAACACCTTGGAGAGAGATAGAGAGAGGGAGGGAGGGAAGGAGAGAGAGAGAGAGAGAGAGAGAGAGAGAGAGAGAGAGAGAGAGAGAGAGAAAGAGACTCTAGAATGGATAGGAGTGTGAAAAAGGTACTGAGGACAATGTATTCCTTTGTTTCTGGGTCCAGGAGGGATGATTCTACTTTCTCTGGGTCTCTCTGTGGTATGGATGTCCCCCTGCCTGATAGCCTGATAGGGTGAGGGGTTCTCTGTGCACCCCATCTCATCCCAGGGCCTATGTTGCCTAGTGAGGAACAGGGCTGAGTTTGGAGCTCTCCTCCTGCAATGAGGCCTGCTGGGGAGCCCTTGCCCAGCCTCTGCCCTGAGACACCTCCCTTCAGTCACAGCCTCCTGTGCATAGTACCTCTCGGCCTTGCCACCTCCAGAGGTCTAAGAAGGTCCGCTATCTAGACATCTGCCAGACCCACCAGATGCTGAGTTCCCACAGCCTCCATGAGCTTATCTAATGCCTGCCTTGGCCACTCCCACAAAGGACACCTGTGCTTTTAACTGATGTGAACCAGAGAATCTGAGGGAAATGTCCTGCCTCCGTCTTGGCTGGGGAGAGCACAGGTGGCCCCAAAGTGCATGCATATTTCCACATTGCTTTCCCTTCTCTGGAAGCTCCTCAGTCCAGAGAAAGGCAATCAGGGGATGGCTGCCGGCCAGGCCCCCCAGATCTTGACACCAACTACTTCATGGCTCCACCTCTCCTGACTTCAGTCTCCACCTTTGTAGAATACTCCAAGTGCCCAAAGCTTCTCTCTCTGATTGCCATTCTCATGGTTCAGCCTTTGGCTATTTATGAGGGTCATTAGTCTATGATATCTTGTATGGCTACTTGTAAGGTAGGGCAGGAGGCTTGTTAACAATGCTGTTTTATAGAGGAGGACACAGGCCAAGGCATGGTCGGAGGTAGCCTGCACTCGCACAGCAGCCTTCAAGAATTCAGAAGGGACTCAGGAACCAGCAGGCCTCCCTGGATGCCTACCCCTGCTGCCCAGTGTCTGCTGACTCTGCTCCACTCCTAGCCAGGGATCAGTAGTCTGCCACAGAGCTTAAAGAGAGAAATCCTCACTACTTGGGTGTGAAAGTCTGCTGGATTTAAAAATGGTAGGGAGCGCTGTGCATATGGCTCAGTGGCACGATGCCTGCTTGCCAGGTAAGAAGTCCTAAGTTCAATTCCCGCTGCCCACATTAAAAAAAAAGTATATCAGAGTGAATAGATTAAAATTAAAACCATGGCAGGGAGAAAACTTTTTAGAGCAAACAGGAATGAACAACTATTATTTTTATTTCTTAAAATAATTTTACTAACTAGGCTAAGGGGCACCAAAGGACTTGGCTTTAATAGTCCTTTTTAGGAGGCTCCTAGGGGCCTTTATTCGCATTGCATATTATCAGATGTGCTTGCCTGTGTGCACGCCCAGTAGATCCAGATAGCAATTTCCTCTCTTATTGCCATAGTGATCGTGTGGCCAGAAAAATAATCACCGATGCACATACATGCTGGCGGAAGGGAGCTGGGCTCTGGGAGTGCTTCAGCATAGATGGCCTGGTTTCTCAGAAGCAAAGGACTTATTTAGGGCTCTTCCTGGCCAAACCGGTGCCTGCCTGACCCTGCACATGGTGGGCCCAGGGCAGTGGGGAGTAAGATGAGACAGGGTGGGGGCTGGGGTGTCACAGGCTCTTCCCTGATCCCAGGCATCCCCGCGGGCCTTTTCTCGCTCAGTATCATGAGGGACAAGGGGGTGAAGAGCAAAGATTCAGGGGACTCCTGAAGGTGACCTGATCAACAGAAACGTCATTCCTTTTCCTTGTCCCTCCCCTTTCTCTTCTGAAGTGGGGCCACATCAGCCAGGGCGATACTTAAGAGATGTTCCTGCAAAGTGCAGTGTAGATGTCAGGCACTGATCCTGTTTACAGCCATGACTCTCAGTGATATATTAAATAGTGACATGCAGATATGTGTAAAAGCAAGTAGTAATAATAGCAATCACAATGTCTCCAAGATAACCGGAACAGACATAGGCAGGGGGACACTGTCACCCAATGCTGTTTCCCTGAATCAAAGCCATCAAGTCACAAGGAGGGGATACTGCATTGAATGCCCACTCACTTGCCTGCAGTCAGTCTCCTGCCTCTGAATTTTTAATGCATTCTCTCCTGCAGCCTGAACGGGTTTGTTCAAATTCAGAATCTCAGTTAGTCAGGCTGGGGCAAGGCCCAGGACTGCATTTCTGACAAGCTTCCACATTACACTGAGGCCTTGGTTCTTCCGATCACCTTTTCAGTAGCAACGGCTCATGGTGCCATTTTCCAACTTGCAGTGGGGCACGCCAATGCCACAGGCTCTTCCCAGAAGAAGTCCTGCCATTGAATCAGCCCAAGAGTCCCTGGATGGCCGACCGCCTCCCGCTACACGCTGTCAAGTTCCAGCTCGGAGGAGGAGGACCATCAGCTCAGTCCAGAGCTCTCTACCATCCCTGGCCACAGGTCCTTCCCTGGAGGGAGGAAGCTTCACTTTCCTGCAACACTTAACAAGTCATACCACGATGGCAAATTCTGGGTCAGGAGGAGGAGCACACACTTTGAAGCCAGCTGCCTGGAACCTGCACTTAAGTCGCAGCTCTGCTGCTTTCTAGCTCAGTGACCTTGGCTAGTGCCTTGGCCTTCCTGAGCCTTGGTCTCCATCTTTCAAGGGGAAAGAACACAGCCTGAGTCATGGGGACTTCTCAAGGTTGAAATGAATGGGGAACACGGGTTTCCTGCAACTGCATTTGAAGACAGTACACGGTCATGAAACAAAAGTTCCCCATCTTTCCCGTGGTCTTGCTTGGGCTACTGTGGCTTCTGATCTGCAGTTTGGAAGCAAAATCCCCTTTTTTCTGGACCTGGCCAGTCGGGCTTGGGTCTAGATGCTTCACTCATGGAAGCAGGTGCCACCTCTTGGCTCCTGCTCTCCCAGCCATAGGTTTGCCCACATCACTCTCCTTATCTCTGCCTCCCACACCCCAAGCTGTCCTCTTCCTCCTCTTGGACCTGAAATAGTCCCACCTTGAATTAGCACACAGCTTGCCCAACCCAGATGTCCTCAAGGTGCTTCTGTCATTTGCCACTGTGAAAGCAGGTGGCTTGGCCAAAGATCTGGGGCAGGGGATGGGAAGGTGGGTAGGGTGGGGATCTGCATGTTTTGCAGGAGTGGTGAGGGGTGCATAATATAAGGGGTGGGGTCCTGAAGCCCAGTGCCTAGTAAGCAGCTAACCTGGAAAACAAAGAACTTTGGCCTTTCTCTTGTTTCTTTTTTTGCAGGGGAGTCGGGTGGGGGGAAAATAGTGTGCTTGTGGTTGGGTCCTAAGGGCTCTGAATAGCTTCTGAGCAGCCTGGGTGACTATCATGTTTTCATGCTCAGAAGTGGTGTCTGAGCCAACAGAAGCGTCCTCTGTTGTCCTGACAGTGGGAGAGTACAGAGATCAGAAATCAGAGGCTGGAGGCAAGAGCATAGAATCTTTGTTTGCCTGTGCATAGTAGGGTAAGAGGCTGACTCTCAGGGATACAGGCAGCCCCGCCCCCACCCGCTGCCCGAGGAGGGAGCAGTGAGAATGCAGAGACCCCCAGACATTCAGCACAGGCAACAGCAGGACACCAGTCTACTCCTGAGCTGGAGCCCTGGCCACCCTGGGCCTTTGTGCTCCGTGAGAGGGAAGAGGAAGTAATGTCTCCCAGGGCTCAGCCATGTTACCGGTGGGGCCCTGGAGGAGAGCCACCTGGGTCCCCTGCTCCCTGCCTCTGGGACATTTCAGTGGAAGTTGAGAACCGTCACCAGGATCCAGATGCCGGCTTTGCTCAAGTCCTGACCCCGGGTTGGCTTCCCGAAGCCAGAGCAGGAGTGCGCTTAAGGGAGGGCCACACTGGGCGAGACGCTGCTTCTTGGAGCCAAATCTGAAGCCAGAGTCATATCCGTTTGGGGGTTCCTTAGGGTTTAGAGCCCAACGGGAGCCAGCATGGTTTTGGTAGCTGGAAGGGGCTGGAGTGAGCCCCAGGCCATGGCTCCACCCTTAAGTGCCTGCCCCATGTGAAAGGGTGGCTGTCCAGGGTGGCCATGCACGTCTAAGGTCTGTGCGGGCCAGAAGAAATAAAGAAAGCCCAGACTCAGGGTAGAGGAGAGAGACCCCACTGCCCGCACCCGAGAGAGCTCGCCACGAAGACGTACCATTGACTAGGCTGGCATTTGCACTATCTGCAGCATTTGAAGCTGCTGCACCGTCTGCCGCTGGAAGGTGGGAGGGATGGAAAATGCAGCGTGTCACAATGAGAGAAGCAACAACCACAAAGACACGAACCCGCCAGCTGGGACCATGCCACTCTATTCTCAAGACCAAGCCTCTGCTGGAAACCAGAGACTCACATGTGGGGGTGAAATGTTCCCATGGAGATGCCAGAGGGGTACAGGAGGGGGGCTCAGACATGGAGGCCTTAGGACAAAGCATGGAGGGCGGGTGGGCAGGTGGAGGGGGATGGCACTCTTCTGTTGGGGCCTGGACCTGCTGGCCCGGCTGGTCGGCTAGGTTCCCTCCAGAGCAGCTGCAAGAGAGCATCTGGCTGCTCTTTGGGGCCAGAGTATCCATGACTGGGAGTCAATGTAGTGTCCAGGGAGAGGGATGTAAGGAGGGCCCTGCGTATGCAGAGGGGTGTGTGCTGTGACCATTGTCATGTGGTGTCAGGGCATCCTGGGGAGCAGCTGTCACTGGTGGTGGCTCAGGACTGTGTCTTCAAGGTAGGCTATTACTTACTGCCACATCTTCCTTCCTTAACCAGCACCCCAAAAAGCACCCTGGTAGCCTCCAATGAGATACCCCACTGGCATCAGTGTGTCACATTTGGCCCTCAAGAAAGGCACCAGTGCCATCTCGTTCACTTAGGACTTGTGAGTGCTGCGGGGTTGGCTGCAGCCCTTGTTCTCTTCCTTGGTATGGGACTAGGGGAGAAGAAGCCCTGTGCGTAAGGGGTGCTGCACTGCAGTAAGAACATGTTATGTGGCTTGCAGTGGGAAGCTGGGGAGAGTTCTGTGGGGTGCTAGTGGAGGTGTAGGGTCAGGGGTGGTGGGGAGGCCTTGTGGGCTATGCTCAGGGCTGAGGGTGCTGGATAGTGCTGGGGACATTCGGTGTTAGCTGACAGGGTGAGGCCCTGGAGGGGGCTGAGGATGGAGTGGGTGTTGCTTGTCCTGCTGGCTGGCACCACACAGGATGCAGGGGCAGCTGGGAGTGCAGAGGTTCAGCAGGCTAGGGGCCTCCTCCAGTGGTGTGCTGGTGACCTACGGGCAGGGCCTCCTGGGAAAGGCTGCAGCTATTTCTAAAAGCCCCGTCTACCACGAGGGGTGTCTTACTGTACCTGGTAGCTGAAGGCCATCCCCCTTCTTCACACCTGTGTGATGATTTTTGAGACATGTTAATGAAGGAGAAGCACACACGGCCTCCTCTGCCCACGAACACACACACATATGCGCTCAACTACACATCGACAAACCCTGAAATGGGAACATGTGGTTGGCAGGCTCTAAGCTACAGCATTCCTAGTTCCGATGATGGGACAGAGGGGGGTGGGGGGAATGGGCCTGGTCCCTGTGGAGCTGCACGCCCTGGCCTGAGACGCTGGGCCACTTCCCCAGCCCCTCTGCACACCTCTTTCATACCCCTTCTTCTGTGTGACACTGAGTCTCTCAACACTGTCTTGGTGTGCCTTTAGCATCCAGTGTGGGCCTTGACCCACGCTTCCGGGGCAGCTGAAGGTGGTCTTACTGGCATTTTAATTAATTAATTAATTAATTAATTAATTAATTTTTTGTCCTGTCAGAGGTGGATATTCTATTGGCATCTAAATACTATAGGTGTTTGAATTCAGCTAAACAATCCAACTGTCTAGCAGTCTACAATAATAGTGGGTTACCCTCAGAAGTTATTGACTTGAGCCTTTTACAGCTCATCGTATTAATATGGCTTTACTTTATATACCTCATTTTTATACTTTTCTGCTGGATGGTTAAGACCAAGATAAAGCAAGACCTGTATAACAAATGTAACTTTTGTATCTGATAAGGTCAGTCAAGTACCCTCAGGATTTATCCTGCAGCCCTGTACCGCACTTTGTAGATCCTTTATCAGTGTCAGCCATGTGGATGAGTTACAGCCATTGCTTGACCAATTTGCTCTCTGTGAAAGCCTGAGAGAATGCTTTTTCTCTCCATGTCACTCTCTGCAGGCACACTATACATCATCAATCATACTGGCATTTTTAAAGACAGGTCTGGCCCATGCAGGTTTCTGTCTGCCCCTAAGCTAGGGCCCAGAAAGGCCACAGAAATGTGTCTGGGCTTCCACATTCCTCCTGACCTCTCGAATGTGTCCATTACCTGCCTTTGGGCCTGGCCAGCCTCTGTGGCTGCAGACCATCTTGGTGTTGGAACTCTGTCCTGAGGCCTCCTCTTGATCACACTCTCTTCTGTCAACCCCAGCACCCCTTACTCTTCTCAGCTTGATTTCCCAGACAATAGCTCAGTCCATTGTTTCTGCTGGAGGTGGAGCCATAGCCACAATCTTAGGGGACCCACTAGGACAGTGATGGTGAATCTTTCAGAGACAAGTGCCCAAACTGCAACCCAAAACCCATTTATGTATTTCAAAGTGCTAACACTGCAATTAAACCTGAATTTTGAGGGTTTAGTTTAGAAAAAGCAACTCATACAACCTGTGATGTCATTGCAGAGAGGACTCTGCATGCCACTGTGGCACACATGCCACGGGTTCACCACCACTGAACTAGGAAATGGGCTTAGCTCTCAGGAACAGGCTGCCCTTACACCCTGACCCCAGCTCTGCGCCTGAGTGGCCTCTGGGCCTGGAGGTAGGCACCTGTACCCTGCTATCCACCAGCCAGACCCCAGGTTTTCTGGATGTGGGACCCTCCCCCCCCAAGGAGTCTGCAGCAGGAGATGGAGCCTGGTCATGTGAATTGGGGCACTCTGAGCCCGAGTGTGGGTGTCAGGTGAGGAGCCTGTCATGACGGTCCCTGAATTCTAGACCTGAGTTGGGCTTGGGGCCTCCTGCAGAAGTATTTCTCTTCTGTTCTGTGAGGCATGAGGAGCCCCATATGTGTGGAAGGAGGCTTGCTTTCCAGCAGGGAAAAGGAATCAGAACTCAGGCAAGGTGGCAGTTCCCGGGGACTAGGAGAGCAGACTTCAAGCGGTGTATGTGGACCCAGGCTTTTGGCCACTTCTGGGAGTCTCCTCTGCATACAGCTAGGCTGCGTGAGTGCTGGGTGGATTTCCAGCTCTGCCAAGCAGAGACAGCAATGGTGAAGGGGATTTCTGCTCCTTAGCAATGGTGGGACCAGGTTCTGTGGACTGTTCTGGGCTGAGACTGAAGACTCCACAGCTTGGGCCACATCCTGGGCCTGGCCAGAGGGGGAGGAGGGGCTTCTGAGACACAACCAGACAAGACAGAGACCTGGACAAGACCTTGAGATGAAACAGATAGAGCCACCTGGCCCTAGCAGGGCCTTGAGGATGGAGGAGGGGCTGCCGGCACAGGGTGTGGACAAAGAAGTCACTCAGTAACTAGTTTGTTGAGTGGCCCCCCCAAAAGAGAAGTGGCCTTAGCCGTGCTGCGCATGGTCTGAGGGGGTGGTCTTACCTTTTTTGTCTTTCTTTTCTTCCTCTTCACCACCAGCACCCAACAATGTAAAGATGATGCCAGTCTGAGAGTTCACACCCACGGCAGTCACCACCATCCGTCCTGAGCCCTCCATCACATGCGTTCCTGAGGAAGGGCCAGAACCAGTTAGCACAGTGTGGCACAGGGGGAGGAGCAATGTCCCCCAAGCCTCAGCTCCCTGCCTGCTGCACCGTGGGTGCTGCCTGGGGTGAAGGCAGTGCTGGGATGGGCCAGGGGCTGAAACGCTGCTGTCTTTAAATTCTCAGTCACCCCAAAGCTCCAGGCCCTGACCAGCTGACAGCCTGGAGCCAGAGCATTTCTTCCTCCTTTCTTTCCACACAGGTCAATCAAGGAATGTGCTTCTTTCCAACAGTACTCAGAGTTTGCTTAACTCTGCAACCAGGATGGCAATGCTAAGATAATCCTCCACAGCATTGCTTAAAATAGGATCCTAAAAAATTTGGGAGAAGACTTTAGGGGTCTGAAAATGTGGATAAGAAAAAAAAAATTACATGTTCATTTTTTTCACAAGCCTTGCACTGAAATTAGCCTCTTTCCCCACCATTAAAGTGGGCAACGAATGCAAGATGTATTCCCAACACCCGCAAAGTCACGGCATACACAGTTGTCCTGGATTTTTAAGTCATTGTGTGGTGGTCACAGACATTCAGGTCCTTGTTTCTGTGTTACCACCAAGCTGATCACTACTTTGTTCTGTGTGGCCACCAAGAAGCACACCCATGACCAACACACCATTTTCACTACCTTATTTTCATATAATTGGCTTAGTCATTTAGGGTATTTAATTTCACGTACTTCAACATTCTGAGTAGCGGTGGTGTGCGCTCCTGCTACTCTTGTGCAGAAGGAAAGGCCCCTTTCATAGAATTCTATGTTGCTCAAACTGGGTTCTGAAAGGTCTCAGAATTCTTTCAAGGCTCTTCAGGGGCAGCTTTGCCCACGCAGGGCTGAAGGGCTCTACTGCTTGTCTTCTCTCTGTGGTTTCTCTGTCAATTTCTGCTCGACAAGTCTGGTTGCTGCTGGCAAGTGGGCCCTTCTGCCATGCAGGCTCAGTGAACCATCTGAGGCCACATGGGGTTGTGGCAGAGTGAGGCTACAGTTCAAAAGAGGAAATGCATCTATATCTGCAATGGAGCGTTAGCCTTAAGGAAATTCCGACACATGCCACTGCATGGCTGAACCTTGAGGGTGTTATCCTATGTGACAGCAGCCTGTCACAAAAGGGCTCTAAAGACACAGAGTAACTTGTCTCTGACAGCTTCCCTGTCTCCCAGTTTGCTTCAGACTTGGAGCCTTGGCCTGCAAAGCCATCAGAACTGTCTCTATGGTCTTGGGTGTGACAGTTGAAGCAAAGATTATTTTTGTTGTAGAGTTCTGTTTGTATTTTCATTGTAGTTCATGAAGACATTTATTTTTGATATTATCTTTTAGCTTTTGTAAGCAAGTACACAGCTGATGTGAAATGATTATTCTAAATGCACTATATATACATATATATATATATATATATATATATATATATATTTTTAAGAATTTGATGCTGTATTTTATGTTCCTTTTAAAAGTACATAATATACAATATAATAAAAACTTGGCAAAACAAACAAAAAAAAAAAACAAAACAAACAAAAAAAGAACTGTCTCTATGGTAAGAGTCAATGTAGTCTGTCTGGGCCAGGGCCGAAAGCACTTCCCGGAGGAAGGAATCCACCATCTTTTTTTCCAGTGGCTTGTCTGCCTGGCTCCTTCTCTTCTAGGGCCTGAGTGTATCTGTGTACACATGCATGCCTGCGTATGTGACACACTAGCATCCACCCTAGGGCCTCTCTGCTGTAGGAGGCCCAGGCCTGCTACTGATCAAGAACTTTCTTGGGCACCAGCTCGGGCCACGTGAGACTGGGAGAGGGGCCACTGAATCTCCTCATGAATGCTGGGAAGAAAGCTGGTAGCACATAGGGTGAGCGCTCACTCAGCAGCACAGAGTGTGCATGGAAGGCACAGAACACCCAGGCTAACTCCGGAAGAACGTCCTAAGCACTGGATGAGGCGCTGCTGACCTTACTGAGCGCTCACACAGGTCTTCAGGGGGTAGGAGGCCGGGGCAGAGGTGGCTCCTACTGGTGTGGGCGGAGCAGTGCCTGAGTCTGTTGTCTACTGAACATGTGTCTGCGCCACACCACATTTTGCCAAGGAGACAAGGTCCTAATAGACAGGTCTCAAACACAGGCATGAGAGGCCAGCTGGAAAATGAGGTGCTGGCCCTCTGGCCTGGTGGCCACAGGGAGGCAGCTGGGGAGGTGGAAAAAGACACAGGGGGCCAGGCCAGTTTCCACCCAAGATAAGTGGACCTCAAGTGCCGTCCAATCTGATCGCTTCCCCTCACAGAGGCAGCAAAACTCGTCAGCTCTACTCTCTGAACCATGCATGGGCAGGGCAGAGAGGCAGCAGTAGGGGGAGCCTGGGCCCTGAGGCCCCCCACCCTGGACAGGAGTAGGGGGCAACTGGCATTCTCACCCTGCCTGATTCTCCTCCATGTCTACCAGTGTCCCTCGACACTGCTTGACTAGTGTCACCGTGACCTTCCTGAGAGTTTGCAAGGCTTGCTGAGGGACCAAGGACCAGTTGGTGCCCCCAAGGGACCCAAGCCTGTCTTTTGGTTCTGCCCTCTGGTTCCTGCCACAAGGCCTCTGCTTGGACCGCATGGCTCACTGACCTTCGTGCCCAGCATGTGCCTCTGCCCGAGGTCTCACCAGCTGGATGCCCTCTCCCACGCTGCTCCTCCTTCCTCTGGAGTCCCTGACTCAGACAAGGGATTTCCCCTCTCCTCAATTTTCCTCAGGCTGGGCCCAGGCCTGGCTCCTCAACGACACCCCACACCCCTTGAGAGCAGGATCTGAGTGCAGTCCTCTGTTGGCTTCCATAGCGCTGTGCCTGGCTTGTGGCTGAAATCCCAGCACTGCCCCCCTGCACCTTTCTTTTCTGTGTACTCCTTTTTATCAGCATGGCTCCTATAGAGGAGGGTGGAGTCCCCCAGGAAACCATCCTCACAGCCACCTCTGCTGAGCCCAGGGAGGGCTTCACAGTGGGGGGTCAGTCTGCATCCTGCTGACTTGCTAGCCCTGACTTGAGGAATGAGGGCAGCGAGGCTGCTCAGGGCCACCCCCTGCCTCAGCACTGGGCAAAGCCTGCCTACAGCAGCTCAGATGACGCTCTCCACCACCGCTGTAACACAGGGCCCCAGCAGGGGGAAGAGCCTCTCCTCTGACAGCCCTGGGAAGCAGGTTCTGGTGCAAGCACAGTCCCAAGCCCCTCTGCCCACCTGTGGTTTCTCTGACTCAGAGAGGTCGAGTGGCGGCCCAGGGTCACACAGTTGTGAGTGGTAGAGCCGGAACTTGAACCCGTGCTCTATCCACTACACCCCGCTGCCTCTCATGGAGAAGAGGCAGGGTAGTGTAATGGAGAGAGTGCGGGCCGAGCAGCAGACCAGGCCTTCTGCAGTCATGATGTCGTCCTAGGTGGCAATGGCGGAGGTCCGCTCGCTGCTTGGCCTGGCCTTCCGCTTGGGGGATAGGTAGCAGGCACTGGGATGTGGCTGAGTCTCCAGAGAGGTTACAGCCTTGTCCTGAGAATGATCTGGCTGGGAGCGGGGAATAGGGCGGGGCCTCTGGAGCTGGCCCTATTGCCGTCAGATCCGGCCTTCCTGACCTCAGCCTTCCATGACACCCCGACGGTGTTCAGGTGTTTGCTTTCCAGGTGAAATCGCTGGATGTGGGCTGCTGGGCTGTGTTGGATTGTTTTGCTGAATTCACGCACCTACACTGTTCAGATGCCAATGGAATACCCATCTGTGACAGGACTAAACAAAAAAAGGCGATATAAAGGAAGGACCATTTTGTATCTGTATATGCAGAATGGTCAGGATAGATATACAGCTACTTTTGCTTAATTCAATGAGAAGAAAGGTCTGTACTAATAGTGTTTGGACAGGATATTCTGTCTGCATCTTCTATTATGGAGAACCACTAAGAAGATAACAATGTATTAATTATTGAAACTGTCCTATTAATCAGTTTTGAAACTGTCTCATTGATATTTGTTTCTCAATAAAATAAAAAAAAAAAATCACTGGATGGTGCTTCAAACAGGCCACACTGCGGATGTTAGTATCCACCACCACGGGTCTCACCCCAGCTCTGCCCCCACTGTGTGGCCTGGCTCTCCTGAGCTGGGCCTCAGTTCCCCTAGCTTCGAACGGGGGCAAACCTGGAGTTCTCTGGGATCTCTGAATCCCTGGAATGCTGTACACTTATAAGCCCGGACAATGGAGCTGCTGCTCTTAGGGTGCCGAAGGGGTTGAGACAGGAGGGCTAAAAAGCCCTGGCTCCATGAAAGTCAAAGCAGAGATAAAAACTGCTTCTGCAGGGAAGGAGGCTAGAGAGATGCTGCCTGCAGAAGCCTCACTGGCCCTGCATGTCCCTGTCCGGGGCAGGAGAGTCGCTGATTGTGACTACAGATGGGGCCTTCCTTCAGGACAAGATCATGTCAATATCAAGCTGGCTAACTGCTACAGGACCCACTGTCCTTAGGAGACACACCTATGGTTAGGGCTCCGGGAAGGTCCTGTACTGACTGTGGCAGAGGGGCTGGTGACAGGAGCTGCATTAGTGGGAGAACATGCACAGGCTCCCCGCATACCACCTGTGCCTCTTTTCTTGGAGTTTGAAGTAATCTTAAAGTACACTAAACAAGAAACCCCAGGCCAGAGTTTGCATCATAGGGCACACACACATGCGCGTGCGTGCGCGCACACACACACACATACACACACACACACACACACACACACACACACACATTGCTTTGTCTATGGAGACTTCAAAAAAAAATTGGAACTCTGGGCCAACTCTTAAATCATGAGGCACCCCACAACACTGTCAGCTTCCAGCTTTCTGGAAGTGAGTGGTGCCCACTTGGCATCCATGACAGCAGGCAGAAGTGGGAGCCGCTGTGCTCATGCTGGGTGCCCTTGCTCCCTGTGGCCACACCCATGGGAGCTGGTGAGGCTGAGCATTTCCACCTGCTTGGAGGACTCGGACTTTCATCTGCCTGTCAGTGCTGGGGACCTGTCCTTGGGTTGGCTGCCCCCAGTGCTGGCTCTTCCTGTCCCATGTGGCAACTCACATGCAGCATTTGCAAGGACGGCTGTGCCTGTGTGGCTCTGTGGGGAGGGCAGGGGACCCACGGCACATCCTGTGCATGGAGAGACGTGAAAAGACTTGTCCTCTGTCATAGACTGGGCGTGGCCGAGATGCCTGAGGTACAGCTTTGGCCTTGCAAAATCCAGGGCCACTCTGGCTTCGGTGAGCAGCATCCCACAGGGTTGTTCAACGGAGCCATGAGGTCTTCGGCACACTGCGCATGTCTGCTCTGCCCAGGGACCATGTGGCTAGACACAGGCATTCAGGGCAACCTGGCAGATGGAGACCAGGCCAGGCCCTTGGCCAGGCCCAAGGAGGAGCAGCAGGAGACTGGAGAGGAAGGGGCAGCAGAGAGCTAGGAAGGTGTGAAGGTGGAGAGGGGGACAGGCATTCCTGAAGACCAGGCTAGGTGCTAGCCCAGGAATGGGGAAGAAAACCCATGTTGTACTGAGCACACTCTCCAGGCATTCTTGGGGCTCCAGCCCTGTCACACCTCCACTAGCCTTCCAAGTAAACAGAGGCTAAGAGCAGGGAAGCAACCTACGAGTTCATTCAAGAGCTCATGTTGGCTTTGTTTTTGGACAAAACCTTGCTGTGCAGTTCAGGCTGTCCTTGAGCTCACTATGCAGCCCAGGCCTGGGCTCACTATGTAGTCCAGACTGGATTGCGCTTGGCAATCCTCCTGCCTCAGCCTCCTGAGTGCTGGGAACACAGGCATGCACAAGCAGGCCGGCCCAGGTCAGTTTCTGCTGGGCAGATTCTCTGTTGACTGCACCTCTGCCTGTTTTTCTCCCCTTACTCAAGAAGCCTGGGACTGAAGTGGGGTGTGACTTCCAGAGGCCTTGGGCTGGTGCTGCGCTCCCAGCTGCCTGGTGTCTGGCAAGAGGACTGATGTAGAAGTGATGTATCTCTCTGCACATGGCCAAGGGTGAACGGGCCTCTAGAAGTGAGACTGTAGGAGCCAGACTTGGTCTGGAGGGGCGATGGTGGTACATCCTTCTCTTTGTGTGAGGTGGTTTGTGCAGTGCAGAACTCTGCTCTGAGACTGTGTCTACGCAGGTCAAGCACAGTGGGTAATAGAACAGGGTGAAAGGTGTGTGCCCTGCAGAAACAGGGTGATCTCAGAGGGTGGCAGCAACCTGGGAAGCCTGTAGGGAGGGGGTGGGGCCTGAGAAGATGGGCCTGACTCAAGTGCACAGAGGAAGGCAGGTGAAGGAGCCAGCGGAAGGTGGTCTCTAGGGCAGGGCAGGGCAGGTGCATTGGGGGAAGGCTGCACAAGCAGGTTTCTGCAGGCAGCACTGCAGGCTGGCTGCCCTGGAGCCTCCCCTTCTTCTGTCTAGCTCGTCCTGCACTGTGATCTCCACGGGCCTTGACGCTGGCTTTCCTTCTGCCACTTTCCTGCCCTCATGGGTGCTGCCAGCCTGGTGGGCACAGTTTCTACTTCAAGTCTGGACAGGACTCCAGGACAGGCTGCCTGAAACTATCCCTGAGGAGTAGACACAGGGTCATCATGTGCCGCGGAAGTCTTGGACTGTGGCACACTGCATGGCTGATGTCCTTGAGCACCCAGAGGCCTGCTCCATTTCTCTGTATCTGCAGTCAGGTGCTTTCTTCAAGACCAAAGCCATTGGTGTGACATGGGCTCAGGGGACAACTGTGACATCTGGCATCACATCCTCCTCATCTTAGGGTTACTGCTGCCTGCTTCTGAGCTGACCACTAGCCCATATTTTCGTGGATGCACTGGATGCCTGGGGGACCTTGAGCGCCTGGCTCTGCATCCAGGACCCTCCTCTCCTCTCCAAGGACTGCAGGCCTGAGTCTCAGGGTTTTCATGGTCTCTCCCCAGATATACAGCTTCTCCTTGTTAAGGAGCAGGAGCACAGAGCAGAGAGGAGCCCAGCCCCTGTGATCCCAACGCCTCAAAACTCTTTGTTTCCTTTCTGGTTATGGCCTGGAATAGTCTGCTCTTGGCCTTTACCTGTGGCATTGCCTGATACTTGGTGTCCTGATTCTTTGGGCCTTCTGGCTCCAAAAGCTTGTGACTTACCCTCGGCCACTTCCTGTCTCTCTTTTCCTTTCAGATGTTTCCAGCTGTTTGCCTCTGCATGTTCCCCACCCCTGGTCTGCGAAGCCACTGGGCCAGTGACTCTGAACACTTTCTCTTTCAGGCCCTGCCAGCATCCTGTACTCCAGCCCCTTCTCCAAACTGTCTGGAATCTTTACAGCTCATCATTGCAGGCCAGGCCTCCCCTGGGCATGTGCAGGTCGGATGACTTATCTGGAAGCTCCCCCAAGGATGCTCGCTTTTGGGGGGGGGGCGCAGGTCTCACTATGCAGTTCAGGCTGGCCTTGAGCTCACTTTGTAGGCCAGGCTGGTCTCGAGCTCACAACGATCCTCCTGCCTCAGCCTCCCAAGTGCTGGGATTAGAGGCTTGAGTTTAGGATGCTCAGTTTCTGTAAACCATTTCATCCTGGAGGTCAGGATGGCAACCATCTTAAACTCTCATGTAGCCCAGGGTTCCAGTAGGCCCTTGAGGTCATTTGTGTCCCTTGGTCAAAGCCAGGGGCTGTGCACTTTGCACTCACAGTCTCTCTGCTGGGACTGCTCTTCTCTTTTTTCCAGTTTTAGCTCAGAAGCAGGCTCATCAGACAGGCCTGCCTCCCCTCACCAACGCAGGACCCTTCCCCTGCAATGTGTCCTTATCTGATTCGTCATCCACGGAGCCTACCTGACCTGTTTGCTTGCTTGACCCTTTATTGCCTGTCTTCTTCAGTGGATTCCAAGCTTCAGCTCCAGCATGGCAGGGACCTTGTTTGTCCTATTTGCTACCAGTGCACGGCAAGTGTTCAATGAACAGGTGTCAGTTGAATACATTTTGGCTAAATTAATACCCCAGGTTGATTCTCCTTCCTTTCTACTACCCTCCCTGCAGACTGGTGCATTAAGACTCCACACTTCTCTGGGCCTCCAGGCCTTTGCACACAGCTGCTGGTGGGATGAGGCCTTCTCTCCACAACTGAACTTGGCAAACTCCTACTTCGTGTGTAAAACCCAGATCAACATTATGTCCTGTGGGAACCCTGCCTCCTTCTTGGCTTCTTCACAATAATTCCTCACAATTAGGTACTCCTGTGTAGGGATGTTCCTCAGGCCCATTCAGCCTGGGGTTTCCTAAGAGCAGAGGCTAGGTCTGACTCAGCGTGTGGGGTTCCTGTGTTCTGAGGACATTTGCTGAGCACTGCTAGACAGTAGGGCTGTGGCCTCACCCCTGCAGGGTCTTCCCACCCACTCACTTGTCCCCCTCACAGCAGCCCAAGAAGGCTTCTAAACATGCAAATGCCACCAGCCACTGCTTAAAACCATCGCAGGGGCCAGGCATGGGGTGCACCGCCGATCCCAGCACTGGGGAGGTGGAGGCAGGAGGATGTGAGTTTGATGCCAGCCTGTGCAACTCAGTGAGACTCTGACTCAGCCAAATGAAACGAAACATGCAACAGCAACAAGAACACACTCCTGAGAGTCCTCATCGCGCTCTGAGTCATTTCCATGTTCCCGGTCACAGTCTGCTCTTCCATGTTGCTCCACGTCCTCCAGCAGGTCCTACCGTGGGGCTTCATGCCTGTTCACACTGTCACATCCTGGCTCAACACAGCCTCTGAGAAGAGGCCTGCCCTGCCCTCCCGGCACCTTGCTACACTATTACTTCCAGATCTTTTACACGACCTCTCTGCTCATTGACCACCAGCTCCTTGGAGCTGACTCTTACCCAGTACCGGCTGGGGCCTGGTGTACACTGCTTTTTCATAGAGATTGTCACCTGACTGATCCATTCCCATCCCTGATGAGAGGGCTTCAGTATTGGGCTTTTCAGTAAACAGAGTCACTAGCAGGCAAGTCCCAGGGCTCAGATTCTCTGTTCATCTCGTTTGCCACTGTGCCTGACCCACAGCGGGGTTAAGTGTGCTGTTCTCACTGGAGCCTGAGCTTCCCGAGGTTCCAGAGCCAAAGGCAAGGGCTCTCAAAGGGCTGTAGCTCACCTGACAGCAGCATGGGGTCCTTGTCCACAGACTTGCGCACCTGGTCCGACTCCCCGGTCAGGGAGCTTTCGTCGATCTTGAGGTCGTTGCCTTGGATGAAGAGGCCATCAGCAGGTAGGAGGTCGCCTGGAGGGAGGGATGAGAGGTGGGAGTCAGTGGTCTCAGGGACCAAGAGGTGAATGCCCTCTAAAGAAATGAGCATGAGGGAAAGTTCACCAGGGAGGGTCTGACCCTCAGAGCTCTGGGGTACAGCTAAAGACGGGGCCAGGTGAATGTCACTGGCCTGGGGATAGGGCTGAAGCTGGGCCCAAGCACAACCCAGGCACGCACTTCATAAAGTGTTTCTCCTGGTCTGGCTTGCATTTGGGATCCATTTTCCCACTTTGGTGCCAGCCTATCCACTTTCTTAAAGATAGTGTCACAAGTCCAGGTCATTCACTTCTGTTCCCTCAAGCACCTCCTCTAGCCCAGCAGCCCTCTGTGCACAGCCAGATGAGGAGGGGAGATGAACTTCACCCCAGACTCCTTCTGAGCAGTAGAAGTCCTTACAGTGCAGTGTTGAAAAGGCTCCTGTGGCTGTTCCCAGCTCTGCATGGTCATTCGTTAGCAATGTCTGTGTGGGTTAAAGTTTGGAGCAGTGGTACACTGTTTACAAAATTACTATTTAAATGGATTTGGGAATCTTGTCCCTCTAGGCAGAGCCCCTACCTCTCCCAAAGTGCTTTAGACTAGAGCCTCCTTGGTTCAGCCTTCACGGATGTGCCTTCGCCTGGGACAGCTTTCCGTGGCTGCCCAGTCTGTCTCCTTCTGCCCAGGCCCCTGCTCTAGAGGAGCTCTGTGGCCCACTCACTTACCATATTTGATCTGGGCGATGTCCCCTACCACGATCTCAGCCACAGGGATCTGGACCACCTGGCCAGCCCTGACCACGGTGAATTTCTGCTCCTGCTCAATGCGGCTCTGCAGGCCCCGGAATTGTTTCTCTTTGCTCCAGTCATTGAAGGCTGTGACCAGCACCACACAGATGACCGAGAGCAGGATGGCGGCCCCCTCAATCCACCCTGCTTCTGCCTCTCCTTCATCCTCAGCCCCGCCCTGGGCTGTCGCACATCCTGCAGGCAGCAGAAAGAAGCAGGCAGTGGGGTCAGACCTGAGGGAGGGCCTCATTGCCTGGATTCACAGCTCAGCCCTGCTGAATGACAGATGTTAATGACCCAGCAACAAGAGTCTATCCATTTGGCACACCTGGGTTCCAAGCAAAGGACTTCATGGCAATTAATCCCACTCACTGCCCATTTCCCAGATGTAGAAACCAAGGCCCTAAACAGAGCTCATGTGACTTGCCCACGTCTGGAGGGGTGGGTAGGGAGCAGAGAGATCTTGCTTTAATGTTGGACCCATGGGTAAGGAGAAAGAGCTGCAGCAGGTCCGTGCAGTATGGGGTCCTCCAATCCAAAGGTGAGTCTGCCCAAGCTGTTCCCTCCATCCCCGCAAGAATCCTGAGAGCAGAAGTAATTCCCCACCTAAGGATGAAGAAACAAGCCCAGAGCAGCGAAGGGCTGCAGTCAGATGGGGCTGGGCCTGAAGGGCTGTCTCCACAAGTCCCTCTGGACAGTGCCTGTTATGCCCTGGAGAGCTCAGAGGGTGTTTCTTCCAGGGGAACTAGGAAAGGCCTGGGCAGAGTGCAATGCCTTCAGGTGCCAGTCTCTCTCTGCAAACTGGTTGAGTGAGGGAAGAGTTGTGGGTCAGAGAGATGCAGTGACTCCCTGGAGTCACACAGCAGAGATGGGGCTGGATCTGACCTGCAATCTAACCCCAGCCTGGGCTCCTCACTGTGTCCCATGGAGGGCTGCTATGGACTCATATGGCTGAGCATAAGATCCACTTTGATCTCCAAACAGAGGATAGCACCTTCCCAGGACCCCAACAGAACATCTGCAAAGTCAAGGGTCAACAGCTCATGACAAGAAGGCCAAGAGCTACCCAAGGAATGTTTGCCAGCTCTCTGCTCTGGGGCACAGGGCAAGCTGGTGGCCTTCAGCTTGGCAAGGGAAGGATCACTGTGGCCAGGCAACACCTGCCCCCGGGGAGGAGCCCGAGGCTCAGGCTCAGCAGCTGCTCCATGGCCAGTAAACAACGTCACCACGTGGGGTCCAGAAAGCTGTGTTTTGTTTCTTTTGGGAGTTTCTGGCCTTTCCAATAATTTTAAACCATTTGGATAGACTGGCTTTTGGTAGCAATGATGGTCACAGTGGTGCTGATGAGGACTGACGCCAGGCCAGCCTGAGCTCGAAGCCTTGCTGCTGGGTAGTTCCAAGGACTAGTAAAAAATATGGTATGTATTTAACTAGAAGGTAACAACAAAAGACATTGCAATGAAGCCTCAAAATATTTCCCTTCACTTAAAGCACACTTATACCATTGTTCTGGCCACTTTCTGAAGTGGTTCTGGGAGGCCTTTTCTTTCTCCTTTTGAAAAAGGGTCTCACTATGTAGCCTAGGCTGCCCTCAAACTCACAGTGATCCTTTTGCCTCAGAGCTGAGATTACATGTGTCTGCCACCACTCCTGCCCTGGAAGTCCTCGTTCATGAGTATCTTTATGAGGCATGATAAAAAAGGAGGAGGAACGCTGCTGCCACATGCTGTGCAATGAAAAGCCAGGCTCATTAAACACTACAGTGTGTCCACATTCATCTTATGCCCAGGGATCTGGCGCTGAGCTGGGCGTGGTGGCGCACACATGTAATCCCAGCACTCGGGAGGCTGAGACAGGAAGATTGTTGAGAGTTTAAGACTAGCCTGGGCCACAAAGTGAGCTCAAGGCCAGCCTGAACTTCATTGCGAGACTTTGTCTCAAAAAGACAAACAAACAAAAAATGAAATTCGGAGCCCGAGAGATAGCTCAGTAGAATAAGTGTTTGCCTGGCAAGTGCAAGGTCCTGAGTTCAACCCCTGGTTCCACCAAAAAAAAAAAAAAAAAAAAATCAAATTCAAAATGACCATGAAAGGTCAATGTTTTTTAGACAGGACTTCTATCTAGAATGTATAAAGAACTAAAACTATCCAGCACCCAAAATTCAAAGACCCAATCCAAAAATGGGCATCTGAGATGAATAGATCTCAGAAGAAGAAATACAACTGGCAAATAAACACATGAAAGAATGTTTCACCACACTAATCATTTGATAAATACTAATTAAAATAACACTGAGATACCATCTCTCCCCAGAAAAATGGCTGTTATAAAGAAATTAAAGAAATCAACTAATAACAAATGCTGTGCAGGCTTTGGGGGAAAAGGAACCCCTCTCCACTGTTGGTGGGAATGTGGACTGTACAACCCCTATGGAAATCAGTGTGGAGACTCCTCAAAAACTGGGACTGGAAATCCCATTCAACTCAGCTATTCCTTTTCTGGATACTTTTCCAAAAAACCTGAAAACATCATACCACAGTGATGTATGTGCACCCATGTTTATAGCAGCACAATTTGTCATAGCCAAATCTTGGAAACAACCAAAATGTTTGTCCCCTAAGTAATGGATAAAAAAGATGTGATATTTTTATACAATAGAGTATTGCTCAGCTATAAAGAAAGATAAACGAGTTCTTTATAGGTAAATGGATGCAACTAGAGGTTATACTCATAAGTAAAATAAATCTGACTCATATGTGTAAATATTGTATTGTCTCCCTAGTGTAAGAACCTGAAAGAATAAATAAAAATGGAAAGGTGTAATATAGTAAAATGGAAAGAAACTGAATATAAGGAATACACAGTGAAGATGAGGGAAAGGAGAAAAGAAAGGGAAAAAAAGAAAGGAGGAAAAATCATGCAGGTATATAGACAGGATAGCTGACATGATTGTAGTACTAATTCCCATCAGTTTTTTGAAAGTAGCAGTTAATGTTTAAAAGTTTACTTTGCACAACTCTGTATTCTAATATCTGTAATCTGAGCAACTACACTGAAGACAGCAACGTGCAATACGAAAGCCATGGTTGAATACCTCTCAACTTGTTTGGTTAAATGTATACTGTTTCCAACATCTTATCAATCATTATTATACTCTCTTTAAAATAAACTAAAAAAATAAAAAAGACAAGAAAAAAAATTGAGGTTTATTGAAAGCAAGTGTTAATGTCTAATTCTTTGACAAATCTCACATACCTGTATCTGTTAATCTGAGCAATAGATTTGATAATAAAATACATATTATAACAAATATTGTTAATTTTTTATTCTTGTTTTGAAATTCTGTACCATATGCATTGTTGTTTGTGACTCTGTTTCTGTCTTAGTTTTTGCTATTTGTTTTTCTTTTTACCTTTAAAATAAAATAAAATGATAATTAAAAAGAAAAGGGGATGTTTTGAATTGATTCAGCAATCGAGGCAGCCATGACAGCACAACTAAAAACAGTTGAAACATCAAGAAACGTTAAGTACTTAGGAATCAACCTAGCCAAGGAAGTGAAAGATCTCTAGAGTCAAACCTATAGTACCCTGAAAAAGGGAGATGAAAGAGGATATCAGAAAATGAAAAGATAATCCTTGTTCCTGGACAGGCAGAATCACAGTTATCAAAATGGCCATTTTACCAAAACTGATATATTGATTTAATGCATCCCCAATCAAAGTATCAACAGAATTTCTGAAAGAACTAGCAAAATTTTTCCCAGTTTATCTGGAACCAGAAGACACCCAGAAAAGCAGAAGTAATACTGGGCAACAAAAACATTAGCAGGAGGTGTCACAATCTGAAACTTCAAATTATACTGCAAAGCTACTGAGATGAGCACAGCATGGCACTGACTGAGATACAGACATGCAGATCAGTGGAGTAGATAGGGGATAAGTGAACAACCTGAAGCATATTAATTAACCTGATCTTTGATTAAAGAGTCCAAAAGCATACCCTGGAGGAAAGACAGCCTCTTTAACAAGTGGTGCTGGGAAACTGGTAACACACATGCAGAAGATTGAATCTAGACCCATACCTCACACCACACACCAAAATAAAATCAAAGTGGATCAAAGACATACTGTTAAAATAGTACTTAACCCGCTGGACGATAAAGTAGCTCTTGAAGACACAGGTGCAGGAAAAGGCTATAAACAGAAACCCAACTGTACAAGAAATAGCATCAAGAATCAACAACTGGGATCATATCAAATCAAATAGCTTCTGCAAAGAAAAGGGAAGGCGCCACAGAGATAAACTCCAGAATGGGGAAGGATTTTCTTTTCTTGGTAGCTATTGTTCTGACAGAAGAGTAATATTTAGAATTTACAAAAGACTGAAAAAAAAAGCAGGCTCCTCCAAAACAAAAGGCCCAACCAAAAAATGGGCATCTGAAATGAATGGACATTTCTCAGAAGTACAAATAGCTAATAAATACCAGAAAAAAGATTCACATGTCTGGCCATTAGAGAAGTGCAAATTAGAAGGATACTGAGATTCCATCTCACTCCAGAAAGAATGAGTGTCATCAAGAAATCGAATAATAACAAATGCTGGCTTGGGAGCACCATCCCGGCTGACCCCCTCAGCAGTGAGGGTGGGGCTGCCCTGGGTGGTCGTGTGGGGGCATTAGCAGGTGCACTTCTTTGGCAGAAAGAAGAGACTCTAACAGCAGCTGCCCCTGCTCTCCGGGGTTAGTGCCTCCCAGGAAGTGCTCCTGGGTCCTCTCACCTGCCTCACAGGGGCAGTTCTCATGGCCTGCCTTCTGCAGATGAGAAGACCTAGCACAATGGTTGAACACTGCAAATAGTTAGGTCTTAAAAGACGATTACAGCAAAAGACACCTTGCCAGTGACGCCCTCTAAGGACTTCCCGTCCAAACAGCTCTTTCAACACACTTACAGCATCGTAATTTCCACTTTCTGAACAACTCTGCAAGTCCTGTTTCTCGAGCAGCTTTTTTGTGGTGGTTAGGAAGTAGGTTTTTTTTTTTTAGTATTTCAAAATCTTTTCATTTTTATTTGGTAGTGCATGTGTCTAGATCCACCTTAGGGTGTAGGTGCAGGCACTTACCACTCCTTCATACTTTTTATTCTCCTTCCCTTTCTTTTTCCCCTCCTCCATCTCTAGATTCCCTTTCCATTTTC